TTCCTAATAGAAGGCTCTATATAAACACTAATCAACCACACACACACACAAAAAAGGGAATCCCACAAGGAATGGATGAGTAGCAATCTATACTCAAACTCTTTGGTTGAAATTGGTGACAGAGCTCTTTGGTTGGAATTAATGACTATTGGCCACTACAGTTCAAGGGATATTTCCACCTAGGTGTGTCTCCATCCATTAAGGTAATTTTCACATTTTGTTTATATATATATTTATTCATTTATTTCACTTTTTTATGTATGTTTAAAATAAAATTTAAAGATTGTGAGTTTTAAATTATGAATTTTTTATTTTATGGGTTTAAAAATTTTAAATTATGAATTCTATCAAACTATTGAAAAATTTCATAATGAATTTTTTTGAAAAAAATAATAAAAAAATTTTCAATCTTACTAAACTATTAGAGGATTTAAGGATTAAATTAAATATTACCAAACCATTGGATGACTTAATGAATTTTTTAAAAATAATAATAATAAAATTTTTAATCTAACCAAACTATTAGATGATTTAAATCTTGAATTAAATTTTATCAAATTATTGAAAGATTTAATGAATTTTTTAAAAATAATAATAATAAAGTTTTTAATCTTACCAAATTATTGGAAGATTTAAATCATGAATTAAGTCTTATCAAATATTGGATGACTTAATGAATTTTTTGGTAAAAAAATAAAAATAAAATTTTCAATCCTACTAAACTATTAGAATATTTAAATATAAAATTAGATCTTATCAAACTATTTGAAGGTTTAATGAATTTTCGTAAAATAAATTTCATACATAATTTTACAATAAAATCTCACTAAATTATTGGAAGATCTGCATCAAAGTAAATTTTACCAAACTATTGAAATATTTTACTAATTATTTTTTAAATAAAATTTAAATGAATCCAATAACGAACCCTATTCAGAATAAGACACTAATCTTCATGAATACTCTTAAGATAAAAAAATTATATTAAATTATTATCAAACTATATGAGTAATTTTATGATTAATTTTTAATAATTAAATTATTTGTCAAATTATGAAAATGTTTTTAGATTTGGATAATTTGAAATCAAATTGATACCACCTATTGGATGGATGTTATAAAGGTATTATAATATTTCTCATACATAATCGTACTTTTAAATTTAAATATGATTTCATAAACTAAAATCTATCACTTAAAAATATTTAAGTCAAACTTAAAACTTATCTTTAAAATATGATAAATTTAATTAAATGATTAATTATATCTAAATAAAAAATTGATGGTACCTTTTAAGTTTATTATCTAATGATGAATTTATAAATTTATATAGTATAATAAATTTAAAATTAAATTAAATTCGATTGACCTAAATCTCGAACTAAACGAGGTGTGCAATATCCTTCACAATATCTCTTGTCAATATATTCCTTCTATTATTTAAACAGCTTGCATCAAAAGTTGTGCACTAGACCACATATCCAAGTTACAGTGATTTAGGAGAAGAAATTTATAAGGAATTCTCTCTGTTTTGGAAATCCATAGAAAAATTTTTCTTGGTCTTAGCTAGTGATGGCAACGGATCGGGTCGGGATGGGTTTTTGCTCATTTCGAATTCGACCCGATTTTAAATATACAATATCCGAACTCGTATCCGATCCGACCCGATAAATTTTTTTATTTTTAATATTCGTATCCGACCCGATCCGATAGTGTATAAAATTAAATCCGACCCGACCCGAAATTAATAAAATATTATTTTAAATATAAATATAAAATTAAAAATATATAAATATATATATAATTAAATATAAAATTAAAAAATATAATTAAAAAATAATTTTTTTATATATATCGGGTCGGGTAGGGTCGGATTTGCTTAAAACCCAACCCTAACCCGAACCCAAATTTTTTTTTACTCTATTCAATTTTATTCGATCCGATATTCGATTTAAAAAAAAAATTGATCTTAAGATGGGGTGAAATCGAAACTCGACGAATTCGGATGATTTTGCCCTCCCTAATCTTAGCCTAGGAAGTGGCAAGGCTAGCACGACGGCCATTATTCTTACCTTCGCTGTGGTTTCTAACACAGAGAATACTAGCACTAGTGTTGACTCAAAACTCTTCGAAAGCTACTGTGGATAATATTACTGTCTTCTTTTTGGAATCAGATATTTATTCATCACTCTTTAACCAATGAAAAGAAAAAAAGGTTACAATTTGATAAAGGATTTCTTTTACTTTTTAATCTGTTGATCTCCAGGAAATGTCGGTTGAGATGAATTAAAGTTGAATATGACGTGATAAAAAATGAGATGTGACATCTTCGTCTGGTTGTATGCAGTATTGGATGCCATCCCTGACAAGAATATGACAATAGCCAAAGCCTTTTTACATCAGTGCAGAATTAATCATTCACAGTAATAAATTGCATATATTTATGTAAAACATTTATATAATACCACATTTAAATAGGTTTGGATAAATGGTTTGAATTTTTTTAGGTTAGAATTTACAATCTTAATGGCAAATCATTTTATGATTATACCCACAGAGACTAGTCTAATTGTTATGGGGAGTTTTTTTTTTTTTTTTTAACGAAGATGTGATTTTTTTTTCACAAAATATTTTTAGAATAAAATCTTAAATATATCATATTAATAGGAGAAAGATTATTTGCTGAAAAAGATAGTAGTTGACTGTCGGATTTTTCAAAAGAGAAAAATATATCCAGGTTTTTTTTGGGGAGTGGCAAGACAATGAATTGGATAAAAGGAAAAATCATGTGGGTTATTAGCTGCTGTTTAAAGCATTTCTTAAGATTGTTAATCGAGGCATGATGTTGATATTGGTATAATAAAATAACTAAAATAAGGGAAAGATGAGCTGGAAGCATATAATGGTGGAAAATAAACTTTATATGGTACGATCAAACTGAAATTAGTAAACAAATATACAATGCAAAAGCTGAAAATGACAAATGAAAACAAATTAAACACAAATTTTTTATCGACCCTTTTGGTAGTGTGAAGACAAAAAGCTACTGAGAAAACATACAGACAACGTATCTCCAAAACATGTCACATTATATTGTCTTTAGATCTATATTGTATGTGAGGAGTGGGGTCGATCGATTGTGATCAACACTTTCTCATTTTTGCTTGCTTGACCATCTTATCTCAAGCTACCAGATATTGAGATGGCAAGTTGGATTACCATTCTTTGTCCCTCACTATGAACATTTTACGAAAATATAATGTAGGATTCAAAGAATGAAAGAACAAAAATTACTAACGAATATTTTAAGAAGATTTGGTTTAAGAATTATGTTCCCCAATACACGAGAAATATGTAATGATATTTCTTGAAGTTACATCTTAGTTAATTATAAGTACTTTTCAGGATACTCGTTATCGATGATATTTCATGTCCTAGTTTTATGCCTACACCAAAGCCTGTTCAGCATCAAACCATTTAAATGTATTCACTCAAATGTGTTAAAAAATTTTGTTTTTGCGCACGATTCAATCATTCATGATTCAGAAACTTAGACATTTCTTTGTTTTGGACCCTGGGTACTTTTGATCCTCATGTTGCCTTTATGACCATGTTGCTGTCATGTATTTCTCACCAACAATAATTTAAGTGATGATGGGTTGTGCAGCGTACTTGGGGACCGACCTCTCTTCTCTCCAAAGGATTTAGTAGCCTTTTAAATGAAGTAAAATTATTTAAAAGAATATTAAGACAAAATTAATTGTACCAAATAGTACTAGTAGCGAGTTAAAATGAATTTCTGGGAAGTGTTTTCCAGGAGCATATATATATATATATATGTCTGCTGGAAAATAGAATTCAATCTCAGAACTAATCATGTTTAAGTAAGTTTCACAGGAGAAAGAGGTTTTGCTTTCCAACTTCTTTTACCCATCATCTTAAAAGTCTGTATTCAGAAAATCTGTCTCTTCTCTCTCTCTCCCCCTAACATTTGTGCATCTGTTTATTTAATATATATGTAAAATCCAATAATCCTACCACCGATTGGATTTGGGTTACTTCATGTCTACTGACTCTTTATGGGAAGAGAGGAAAGCTGGTGTGAAATTGAAAATAGGGAATAAATCAGTGTTTTTAAAGACAAGGACAAATTATTTTATGCAGCAAAGTTTATAATTAAAAAAGAATTCTTTTTGCTTTCTTTTCTCAAAGATTAAGATTAAGACTAAGAAGATAACAAAAGAAAAGACAGAAAGTGCAACGTCATAAAAAAAACCTGTTGGCTTGGCTTCTTTTGGTTTTGGACGAGCGGAGAGCTTCTCAGGAATCTCTTCTCATCCACATCTCTTTGATCTCTCTCTCTCTCTTACCTCTCTCATCTCTCTTTCTCTCATGTTTTTCAGTTTTCTTGTATTTTTGTTCAGTTCGTAAGTTTTTGTGTAGCGTTTGTTCAATGATCTCCTTAATTGGTGTTAGCAACCAAAGGTTTTTTCAGAACATGAATTTGGAGAGTAGTTATAATAGTTAAGGTTTTGGGGCTAATCCATTTTGGAACTTATCTTTCTTTCTCTAGTCTTGCTTCTTTTCATTTTACATCATCTCTCTTTTGTTTATACCTTCAATTCAAGTTTCAAGAACTTGCTGAAATTTAAAACAAATAAAAAAATACTAGAAAAATTACCAGGAAGATATTGAGAAATTCAAAGCAAAATGAAATGGGATTTATACGAAGGGGGTTGAAGAAACTGAAATCAGCTACTTTTCTTACATTATTTATTACTTTCCACTTTTATTAGCCTTTCTAAATTAGGGTTCATATATAAGTAGATCTCAGGACATTCTGTCATAGATACATATTAACAAGTTGATATTATATATGTGTGTGTGCGCGCGCGTAGATAGGCTTGTCATCAAGTAAATTTTGTATAGTTTGTGTCATCATCACAAAAGTAATTGAATATATATATATATATATATATATATATTATATGAGGGGAGAGATGATGAAAGATTTGGTGGAGGATGAGAGTATTTCCAATTTAACTTCAACATCTGGTGAAGTAAGTGCTTCTTCAGGTACCAGAATTGAGACAGGGACAATGTACCCACAGCACTCTTTTCCTTCAACAAATCAAGCAGCACCGCCACCGAAGAAGAAGAGAAATCTTCCAGGCAACGCAGGTTAATTATATTTATTACTACTTGGTTCTTGTTACTTTGTTTCTCATATTCTTAACATATGGGTTTCAATTTTTCGCCTTTTGGGTGGATTTTACATATGAATTATCAGACCCAGGTTCAGAAGTCATAGCTTTATCTCCCATGACACTCTTGACTACAAATAGATTTATATGTGAGATCTGTAACAAAGGGTTTCAGAGAGATCAGAATCTTGAGCTTCATAGAAGAGGACATAACTTGCCATGGAAACTAAAGCAAAGAACAAACAAGGAGGTAAGAAAGAAGGTATATGTGTGTCCAGAGACTACATGTGTGCACCATGACCCGTCTAGGGCTCTTGGAGACCTCACTGCAATCAAGAAGCACTTTTGCAGAAAGCATGGTGAGAAGAAGTGGAAGTGTGAAAAGTGCTCAAAGCGTTACGCTGTTCAATCAGACTGGAAAGCACACTCCAAAATTTGTGGCACAACAGAGTATAGATGTGACTGCGGAACCCTTTTCTCCAGGTAACAAAAAGAAACAACATATTTAATTAAGTGACTTCAACACACGCTAATTAACAAGTTCAGAAACATATGATAAAGTTAATCTGAGTTCCTCAATCTTCATTTGATCTCTTGTTGATCTCTCTTCACTTTTCTGCATGCACATAGCGTCAGCTTGGGGGTCATGACCGGGTGTCATGATCCTGAAGTAAAGCTAGAAATATCGTATTGACTATATATTAGAGTTGATTTTTATTTAAAATTCTTCATATAACATTATTATAATTATATAATAAATCATTTAATATTTCAATAAAATTTTTAAAATTTTAAATGTTAAATTTATTAAAATGTATATAAAAATAATTTATTATTATATTTTTAAATTAATATATTTAATAATCATTTTCTCTTTGAACAACATTTTACTTCAACGTTACCACTGTTTTTATATTTAAATACAAATTTTATATTTAATTTTAATTTTATTGTTACAATAATTAATCTTATCATTATAATAATTAATTTTACTTTTATTATTATTTTTACTTTCATTAAAATTAATCTCTTCACCTATGCAAATGGACCCTAACAAACAATTTTCTAATGGCCGATCACTTAGTTCTGCTTAGGTAACTAAACTTTTAATGGTTAGATCCGCGATGTCTCTTGTCGTCGGGGAAGAAAAAGAATGACATACAAAAAGTTGACATGAGAAAGGATATTACTACACTGTTTGTCAGGGACCTTGATAAGGTGCTCTTTTTGTTTTCTTCTGCTTGTTTTTGTGGCTGCAGAAGGGACAGTTTCATCACGCACAGAGCGTTTTGCGATGCTTTAGCTAAGGAGAGTGCAAGGGCAACTACAGCTGCAAACCCAGTTCTTCTCTCCTCAGTTTCACATATGACCAAACTGCAAACCCTTCCCCATAACCATGCCCTCCAAGCCCGATCAATGAAAAGAGAACAAGATCATCTTTTTACTGCCAGAGTACCAGCAGCAGACAGCATTCCACCATGGTTAGCTTGCCCACCAGGAGTAGGAGCTGGGCCTGGTCCCCCCTCAATAAACCTTTCATCATCACCATTACATTTAGACAACCCAGTGGCACAGAACGAAAACCCTAGCCAAAATTCTGGTTGTAATACACTTCCTCCATTTCAGGCCCGCACAGCTTCTCTGCACATGTCTGCAGCTGCAATCCTGCAAAAAGCAGCTCAAATGGATGTGACTATGAGCAAACCCTTACAATCACCTGTAGGCATGCAAAGACCTCATCACCACCAGGCTCACATGTCTGGAACCACTGGTTTCATTGGTTCTACATCTTTTCCCCTGTCTGGTTCTAGTCTGGGTTTGTCCGCACGTGAAGAACTTGGAAGTAGCTTTCCCTATGGGTTGGCATCTTTTGGGAATAAAGCTGCTGTCACCTCTGGTTTCATGGAACAGGTAATTGCAACAAATAGTACTGCAGGTGCTGGAGCCGGTGCAGCCCCTCCTGATTCTCTACTCCATGATATGATGAGTTCTTTATCTTCTACAAGTGGGTTTGACGGATCTTCACCTTTTGAACAGTCGTTCACTGGGATATGGAACACAAAAGGAAACAGCATTAATTTTCAAGAAACTACTAATCATCTCTCAAAAACAATAGAATCCCAATTAAGCAGAAGTGATCATGAAGGTAGAGGAAGTAGTAGTGGTAGTAGTAAAATAGGAGGGAATGATGGGTTGACAAGAGATTTCTTGGGTCTTAAAGCTTTACCTCATAGCGATTTCCCCAACTTAGCTGGGCTGAATCATTTAAACTCTTCTTCAGAATAAGGGCAGCAGAATCAGCACAGTCAAACACCATGGCAAGTTTAGGTTCTAGTTCCTTGAATTTTCAAGTTATAACCCTATCTTCTCCATCGAAAGATCAGAAAATGGGAAATCTAGCACTGCAGCTCCCTACCATCTCCGTGGGAATAATTTTTAAGTTGCATGATGTTAAATATATAGTTCTCATAAGTTTTACCCTCATAGTTTTATGCCCTTTCTTTCAATCTTCATAATATTGATTAATGCAGTTTAATTATTTTATATGTGGAACAACTTTCACATATGTTTATCTATATATAACCATTAAAAAAACTCAGCAACCAGTATAATGGAAGTATTAGATTCTATATTTCACAGTTATGTCGATGGCTTCCCTCAATATATGCCTATATATGGATGAAATTTATGTACCCATTGGGCATTCACTTCAGTACTTTTTCTTTTAAAAAAATCAACTGTTTGGTTATATTCTGAAGAAAGCTTGATTGTTTGTCAAGCTTTAAGTACTACTACAAGCCCTAAACCCCTATTCCCCAACCAAAAAAATTGGTGCAAATACAAAGAAAAATTGGCGAACAGTGCCTAGATGTTGTGACTTTGCCTCGTCTCGGATGCTATTTGTGTGTAAAACAAAAAAGCAAAGTATATGCCCTTTGACACCTCGTTCAAGGTGTTATGGGTAGGAATGAATTGGATGGTAAACAGGAAGATAATGGAACTTACATGGTTAAGGGATGTCAGAGTTTAGTTTTTGAAGCATGATCTGATGTTCAAGTCAGTAAAATATTATGGAGAAAGATGATTATGGAGAAAGAAGATGAGTTGTAAAGGATTATGGATTAAGCTTAAGGAATAAGGGTTCAGGATCATGTACCTGATCTCTTTTTATCTTTTATATTAGACACAAACGGTGATGGAATGTGAAAAATTGACAGTTGATGGAAGGTTTATATGAAACATGAGGAAGATTCACATGGGATAAGAGGAAGTAGGATTTAATAATCACAGGGAAGTTGGATTATTGTGAGATAATCCATTAATAAAACGTTAGTGAAAATAGATGATCGAACTATCTACGTAGACGAAAAAATCCAAGTAGACGAGGTGAGCATATTGGGCAAGCTGATGGACAAGTGACAAGACAATCAAAACCGTAAAAATTGACTTTATTGATGGAACAATTAGGCGTGACATACTTTAACGGCCAAAAAACTTTTAAAATCCTTGGAAGAATTGACATATTCACCTACGGTTTGATTGGATATCTACCACAACTATTATTAGATATAACATTTCATATATTTATTTTTCAACACGTGAATGGAGTGACATACGAGTACATATAAAATATTAAAATTTATATATTTATGTTATGTTTATACAAAAATTATATATTATAATTCGTATTGATATAAATTTAATTTTATTAAATTCATATGTAATTATTAAAATTTTGAAATATGTCATATATATATTTTTTGTATCATGTTTATATCGTCCAACGTATTGAGTTTTAAATTACTAGGTTTATATATGAACTAAAATAAATATGAAAAATACTAATGTACTTGAATTAGAATAATGTTCTTTTATGAGATAATAATGGTTTTTAGTTGTTGAGTGATTAATTTTTAATTAACAAAAGAATGATCACTCCTATTTAATTTCAAAGTATTATTGGTTTTAATTAAAATATTTTATGATTTTATTTTAAAAAAATATTCCATAAATACATATTTAAGTTTTTACATATACACTACAAAAAAATTTCACAAAATTTCGATATGAAATTGGGGTTGCAAAGAATATGCTAATTAACACATTGCTTTTTTTTTTTAATGAATAATTAACACATTCTTTAAACCAAAGTCAATGGTGAAAGTTTGGGTTTATTTGAGCATTTAGGATTTTAGATGTTGAAAAATGGAAAAAAATAAAATTTCTCTTAGCAGCCTTTGCTTGGACTGAAATATATATTTTCTTTTACAAAAGGATTCCAATGCGGAAGCCGTTGGGTTCGGACCAGGCTTCAACAAAAACCCAAACTATAACTTTCGGCTTGAGCCCAACACATAGTTGGATCATCTACCCTTTTAAACATTGATGGTCGACCCAAAACTTCCCCAAAATTGTTCAATCTTAAAATGTTGCAATACCGTATTTCTCCTTTTGAAAATTTCTTTTAATTTTAATAAACCTCAGTGGAAAAAAATAAAAACCTAAAATAGTAAGTATTTCAAGTGGCAAAAGTAATCCTTAACACCAAAATAATTACATTTTATATTTTGCTGAAATTAATGAATTTAAAATATTATCTAAAATAGATAAAAAAATTTTATTAAATACATTATCAATGTATTTTTTAATTTTACAAAAAAATTAATAAGGTTACTCATATATTTATGATATATTTAAAAGAATTAAAAAAATTAAAAAATAAAAAATAAATTATCATGTTAATTTTGTTTATAAAATTAAAAATTACATTAATAATTTATTAAATATATATTTTTTAAAAAATAGTAAGGCACGCAATGCGTGTCACTAATCGGTGGAAAATATTGGTGAATACTAATTGACCATTTATTTATAAAATAAAGAATATAAAAATTTAATTATCAACTAAATATTAATTCACATAACATGCATATTAATAAAAATTAAATAAAAAAGTCAATAGAAAAAAATAAAGAGAAGGGCAAATCTGACAATTCGCATAGAAGATATCCCCTACAGTTACTACAACTTTATGGCACGCAGCCACCATCAAGACAAACGCTTTAAAGGCTTTTCCCTATTCGTACTGATCTCACGTTTCACCGCGCTGTCCAGATTATTCCTCTTCAACACTGTCTTCCTCAAATTGTCCTCTTTGCCCTCATTTTCCCGCTAACCAAACACACCCAACACCCACTGGAGAGAGAAAAAAAAAAGGATAGAAAGATTAGACCTTTTTGGTCTCTGTGAAAGGCGATGGCTTGGAGACGCCTAATCACTCAGGTTATTTTCCCTCTCTCTTTTGAGCTTCGTTTTACCTAGCTCTTAATATCATTTTCTTTCTCTGTTTGTTATTTATGTATTAGATATCTATGATATAAAATTCTCAAATTTAGGGATTGAGCAAACCCTAAATTCAAATAGCTTAACAAGGCGTTTGGTCGAGAGATCCAAAATTTTTTTCCTTAGAATCTTGATTGTGGATATCTGATTTCTACGTTTAGTTCAGGTTTATCCGTTCGTAGGAAAAATATTAGATTTTCAATAGTACCCAAACCCAAAAGTCTCCGAATAGAAACCCACCTTTTTATGTGATATTTTATGATTTTGGACAGAAAGTTGCTTGAGTTCCATGTTTGACCTGAATAAACAATTACTTCTTTTTATATTACCCTTTTGAAAAACGACGTTGGGCTATGAAATTAAATTTTTTTAAAGTCAATTACGACATTTGTAATTAACAAAATGCAATAATTGTTCTCTGTGTGCATGAGTGTTCACTAGGATTTTCTCAGTGAATTTGAGCTTGTTTTTGTTTTTGTCATGACAAGTTTCCTTTCCGGCCTTATGATTAATTACTGTGTTTTTAAAGAAAAATGCAGCAATTGAGTCAAAGTTATTTTTTAAAATAACAAATTACGGCATTTATTTATTCAACACTCAGTAATTGATCATTGTAATATTTTTAACATCATCAGTTATTGCGTTTATTTAAAAAACAACGTAGTAATTGTTCATTGATATTTTTTAAAAAATCAATTATTGTGTTTTTTTATATAAACACAGTAATTGTACAATTTAAATTTTTAAAAAAATCAACTACTGCATTCCTTTGAAGACAAACATAGTAATTTATCACTATTTCATTTTTTTATAATTGACCTCTCGAATACTGCATTTTTTGTCGATTATTTTTTTAACAAAATATTGTGCTTGTTATGTTGTCAAGGATATTATGGTAAAAATACATGATTTAATAAACTCAGATTCCCCCCATCCAAACACTAGAATCTGAAAATGGAATGCCATGAAAATCACACTTTCCCTCGGAGATCACACTTTCCTGAATAACACACTTTCCCTCGGAATCCAACTTTCTGCAAACCAAATGCCCCCTAAAAATGTTGCATTTAACACTTGAATCCGAGCTAGGTATTAGTGGGTAATTAAAAGAGTATTGGAATTGAAATTTGAAATCTTCTATTTTAATTTCCATTGGATGTAAAAAAGATACTCATTTGCTTAAGCTGATTGGGACTTTTATTGGCACAAAATCTTTCAGTTATTTTTTTTAAGGTATTGCATTTTTCATTTCATCAATATTCATATTTGTAAATGTAGTTTTGCATGAGGTATTGTTAAAAGTAGTAAAATTTTGCACTAATTGGATTGGTCAAGGCTTAGTTTATATTTTGTGTGGGTTATTCTTGTTTACTAAAGAGTAATTTACGTGTCTGACATAGATTTGAATGTTTATTCTTCAGTTAAACTAATAAGCCTCATCTTCATCTTAAAACAGGTTTCAATAAAGCAATCAGAGTTGGGACAATTTGGAAACTTGTTTAATAGAACTCATCTTTCTGGTATGTGTGTTTGTTTCAATTAAAGTTTTATTTTCTATCATTATCTTTGTAGTTTTATTCTTTTTTTGATAAAATACTTGGCTTTCCCTTTCATTGTTAGCTTTCCTTATTCTCAACTCAAAAACTATGTTGCCCAAGCTGAAATCTTGTAGGAATGCAGGTAATAGGCTTTTGAGTGGCCAACAGAGGCTTAAGTCAAGCTATGTAGGCAATTTAGCTCGCAGGGCCCGAGATGCAGATGAAGCTAGTGAAGTTGTTCGTTTAAGAGAACTTTACCATAGAAATGATCCTGAAGAAGTGATAAGACTATTTGAAAGTCAGCCATCATTACATTCTAATCGTTCTGCACTTTCTGAGTATGTTAAAGCATTAGTCAAAGTTGACAGGCTGGATGAAAGTGAGTTACTTAAGACATTACAAAAGGGTGAGTGGTCTTTGCCATCTTGCATCTTTAGTTTCTTTTAAAATGTTAGTTTTGCAATATTTTTGTTTTGTTTATTTTTTTCACTGAGAAATCTTTAAAATTAGTTTCTAATTGTAGTGCTCATAAATTCTCTGTTAAAACTATTATCATGTCATTTCTTTCTGAAAAATTTCCACTTTTTCCTTTCTGAATCTTTGTTGACTAAGTGATTATGCAAAATTACAGGTATCTCTAATTCGGCAAGGGAGGAAGAGACTAAAGGTGGCCTTTCAGCTTTTCAAAATGTGGGAAAATCTACAAAACGTGGTGTCCTAGGAACTGCTAGTGCTCCTATCCACATGGTGGCTGCAGAAGGAGGGAGTTTTAAAGATCAACTATGGCGTACTTTTCGTAGTATTGCACTTGGCTTCTTGTTGATTTCTGGTGTTGGAGCACTTATTGAGGACAGAGGGATTAGTAAAGGTAGTGTGTTTAAGTGACACAAGTTTTTCTCTAAAATTCCCTATGTGCATGTTTAAACCGATAATCCTTTTTCTGAATTCTGACTGATATCCTTGTTTTAGGACTCGGTCTACACGATGAAGTGCAAGTTGTGGAATCTAACACAAAATTTAATGATGTCAAAGGTGTTGATGAGGCCAAGTCAGAGTTGGAAGAAATTGTCCACTACCTTCGAGATCCTAAGGTGAATGCACTTTTGGATTTGATAAATCTCTCTCTCTCTCTCTCTCTCTCTCTCTCTAAATACCTTTTCCCTTCTTGTAGCGTTTCACTCGTCTTGGTGGTAAGCTTCCAAAAGGTGTCTTGCTTGTTGGTCCACCTGGCAATGGGAAAACAATGTTAGCAAGAGCTATTGCTGGAGAGGCTGGAGTACCTTTCTTCTCCTGCAGTGGCAGTGAGTTTGAAGAGATGTTTGTTGGAGTTGGAGCCCGAAGAGTGAGAGATCTCTTTGCTGCTGCAAAGAAGCGATCACCATGTATTATATTTATTGATGAGATAGATGCCATAGGTGGTAGCCGTAATCCAAAGGACCAGCAGTACATGAGAATGACTTTGAATCAGTTACTTGTTGAATTGGATGGATTTAAACAGAATGAAGGAATTATTGTGATTGCTGCAACTAATTTTCCTGAATCCTTGGATAAGGCACTGGTGAGGCCTGGACGATTTGATCGCCGCATTATTATTCCTTATCCAGATGTTGAAGGACGGAGGCAGATTTTGGAATCCCACATGTCAAAGGTACTATGTTGACTGTGTAGAAGTCCATGTGTTTTAGGAGTTTGAGCTTGAGTTGACAGCTGTCAGTGCCTCATTCATCAGGTTCTGGACAGTACTCTGTGCATACTGTTCTTGGCAGGCCCCAATGGAGCATTTATCATAAAACTTGGCCGGATATTAGCTTTTCAAACATGCTTCTAATTAATGTCTTTGCTATTTTACATGTTGCTTCAATTACATCAACATTTTGTTGTCTGACTTTCCATATTAGGTTTATGTTGCCTCATAGTAATAATTAGTTTTGGTGTTTCTGGTAGAATCATTGTGTGCAGCCATGCATGTCTAACCATTCAATCTGGTGCATTACAGGTCTTGAAGGCTGATGATGTTGATTTAATGATCATTGCTAGAGGCTCTCCTGGATTCTCTGGTGCTGATCTAGCAAATTTGGTCAACGTTGCTGCTGTGAAGGCTGCAATGGATGGTTCTAAAGCAGTGACGATGGCTGATTTGGAGTATGCAAAGGACAAGATCATATTGGGAAGTGAACGCAAGTCGGCTGTCATTTCTGAAGAGTCACGAAAATTGACAGCTTTCCATGAGGCTGGCCATGCCCTTGTTGCCATCCATACTGATGGGGCACTTCCTGTTCACAAAGCAACAATAGTCCCCCGAGGGATGGCTCTTGGCATGGTGTCCCAGTTGCCTGATGTGGATCAAACGAACTTTTCCAGAAAGCAGATGCTTGCAAGGCTTGACGTTGCCTTGGGTGGGTGGGTTGCAGAAGAGCTCATCTTTGGAGAAAATGAAGTTACTTCTGGTCCATACTCTGATCTTGAGAGTGCAACTAAACTAGCTAGAGCCATGGTTACAAAGTATGGCATGAGTAAAGAAGTGGGGCTTGTTACTCATTCTTATAATGACAATGGTAGGAGCATGAGCACTGAGACTAGACTTCTTATAGAGAAAGAAGTGAAGTACTTGCTGGAAAGGGCTTATAACAATGCAAAAACCATCCTCACCACCTACAGCAAAGAACATCATGCACTTGCTAATGCGTTGCTTGAGCATGAGACACTCACAGGAAGTCAGATTAAGGCTCTGCTTGCCCAGGTCAACTCTCAGCAGCAGCAACAAGAACAGCATCAAGAGATGGTTGCACCTCAGAATGGATCTCAGTCCAACCCAGCGCCCCCAAGTCCAAGTCCAGCTGCATCTGTGGCTGCTGCAGCAGCTGCCGCAGCTGCTGCTGCAACTGCTGCAGCTAAAGCCAAAGGCGTTGCTCCTGTTGGATCTTAGCATGCAAGGCGCTGGTAGGGCCTCTTGCCTGGTGGTTATTTGTTGAATTGAATGTGCACATACTCCTGAGCTTTTTCCCATTTAATTTAACAATTTTCCTCCTCATACAGTGATAATGTTGCATTTAGAAGTTTATGCTCCTTGGGATTAGTTTGTAAAGCCTTTATAATAAAGTGCCTTTTGATCCCTTTTTTTACTACTAGTATTTTTAATTACCTGTTATTTGGGTTCTGGATTGAGGCTCAGCAAAAAGCAAGCCCAAAGCGTTTGGTATCATTTAAGAAACTGCTAATTTTATTAACAAAGGTCAGAGATCGTCGACGTGGGAAAGCCTCTTCGGTAGGAATTAAAATTTGAATTTTAAACTTGTTGATCTTAATTTTTAAGGATGGTTGTTTTTAAAGTATATCTCTTATAATTATTGTATGTAACTAATAAATTATAATTCAGTATTGAATGGGATTTTTTTTAAAGGAATTATGTAAAGTTTGTATTTCTTACATAACTCCTTTAAATAGTTAAAAACGATTGGCAGTCATGTGCAAATCTGTGGCGCTTAACGGTCGAACTGGAACAAAGTTACGGTTTGGGTCTCAAACGTTAACTAAAGATCCAAGGTTAGTTAAAGAACAATGGTACCTCGAGAATTGCAAACTACAAGTCGCTCCTCTCCTTATGCCACCTCCTAACCCCTCGGTCTCAGATTTACCTACAAACAAGGACCCCTTGGCTTCGGGTAAGCAGTTCATTGATGTGGGTTTTTCGACGGAAATTATAATAATTAAGAAGGATGGATGATGATTTTCTTTTCTTAATATTTTTTTCATGATTGGTTTGTGTCTGAGATATGTATTTTGCGACAGTTGAACCGCAGAGAATTGTAATTCAAAACAACCATGGGGAGAACCTTGTTGGAATATTACATGAAACAGGTTCTAAGGATCTTGTTATCATCTGCCACGGCTTTCGATCAAAGAAGGTGAGTAAAATTGTTAGATGAAATTAAATTGATTAACATCAGCTATAATTTTTCTCCGACTTCATCTAACTGTGTGGGTTTCTTATTGGAAACCAAATCTGTGTTTTTATGTATAGGAACGAACACCCATGGTGAGTCTTGCCACTGCTTTAGAAAGAGAAGGAATCAGTGCTTTCCGCTTTGACTTTGCTGGGAATGGGTAAGATGATGACTTGAATGGAAGAAGCAAACTTATAATTGGAAAAAATTCTAAATATTTTGAATTTTCTGAGTTATTCCATAAGTCGCTGATACAAGCAATGGTTTTGAGGCTATTTGTACTTTTGGCTTCCAGGGAAAGTGAAGGCTTCTTTATGTATGGTAACTACCGCAGGGAAGCTGAGGATTTACGAGCTGTTGTCCAACACTTCTGCAAGAAAGAACGTTTAATAACTGCAATTATTGGGCACAGTAAAGGTTTGTTTAATATGCAATTAGGATATGAATCAATATAATCCAGCTCTAAATGAGAATAGAAAGCGAGGGAATAGCTGAGCCGTTCTAAATGCATGAAAAGTTTTCAAAATCAAGTTGTTGAATCTAATACTCAGTACTGTGAAGAACTTTGATTCTAAGAAATTAAAGAAGTGAACCATAAGAGAAGAGTTACTTAGTTGTCGCTGAAAAAAAAAAAAAAAAAACACTAAAGCAATTTGCAGATGATCATTTTTTCAAGTTGGATGCTTTTAGAGATTCAAGCGATTTGATTCATTTATCAATTCTTTTAAGTTCTATAATCCTGATAAGGGTTCCTTTAGGGGGAAATGTGGTGCTTCTCTATGCTTCAAAGTATAATGATGTAACCAGGGTCATCAATATTTCTGGCCGGTTCCATCTAGAGAAAGGCATTGAAGGACGATTGGGTAAAGATTTCATACAAAGAATCAAACAAAATGGATTTATTGATGTTAAGAACAGAAAAGGTAGCTACTGTATTATGCTTCATTTTCCCAATATTTTATATGAAGTTCTGTTGCCACCCTCCAGTCAACAAATTTGTGATAAACTAATTTTTTTCTCTGATACCAGGCATTTTTGTTTGTTATTTGCAGGAAAGTTTGAATATCGTGTAACTGAAGAAAGTTTGATGGACCGATTAACCACCGATACTCATGCAGCATGTCTTTTGATTGATCAAAATTGCAGGTCAGGAAATGCTAGCATTGATTGCTTTTCTAATGTTCATGATACAGTTGGATCAACTGCAATATGGATATCACTTGTCGCAGATAAATATTCTGGATGTACTTAATTCTGATTCCCCATCCTCTAAATCAGATTCAACTGTTCGCACTTGGAATAATTAATTTGCATCTCCAGTAAAAATGTGATTATTGGTATAGATTTCTCGCTTGTTTTAACCTTGATGCCATTATTTTCAGGGTCTTGACAATTCATGGAACCATGGATGAATTTGTACCAGCCAAAGATGCCCTGGAATTTGCCAGGTTTATTCGAAATCATAAACTGCATTTAATTGAAGGAGCTGATCACGAGTATACTTTGCACCAGGATGAGTTAGCTACAGTTGTGCTTGGCTTTGTAAGGGCAGCTCGTGAAGACAGAAACATACCCGAACATCTACAATCGTGCAAAACAGGAGTTAATTTTATCAAATCACGTATCTGATGAGTTTTGAATAACAGTCATGTTCGGTGCTCCTGATAGAAGAAAACAGAACCTGAATATCTTGGGGGATGTGATCACGTGCTGAAAGATGAACAAATTCCAGCCCAGCTGATGTAAAATTTACCTTTACGGTTGAATTTGGCCAGCTTGAGACTTTGCTGCATTCCCATGACCTTCTCCCATGTAGGACGTAAGAAGTTAGGCTTTTAAATTGCTTTGTGAACTGATGGATTTGTAGGTTATTGTAATAACAAACTCTATTAGTACTTGAAAAAGCCATTAAGCTATAATCTTCAAAATAAAGCAGAATTATTTTTTTCAACTTCATTGGGAAGTTTTAACTTTGTACTGAAAACCAGATACCATTCTGCAATATGATTATATCTTGAGGTGGTGACTGGTGAGCAATGAGCATACAAAAGTGAATTCTGCTTAACAGTGAATCACCTCGTACAGACAGATGAATTTTTATATTTATTTTTTTTGGTACATTGAAAGATGACTTCGAGTAATTGCATTGTTAAAACATAATAATATTGGGGAAGAACAGCTAATTAGGCCATTGACAACTCCCTTTGTTCTTGTATTACCACAAGACAAACGAGAAGGAAGAGGACAACACTAGGGAAATTGGGTTCCTTTAACAGCGGCTTATGGCTAGTTATTTATGCTCTGTAGGTTTCGGATATATTGCAGTAATTATTGAATATTTTCCAGCCCATCAAGCTACAAGCAAATAAATACAAAAACTGGCACACAGTACAGTGCACACTACTTTCCTCACTAAGTTTAGCTTCCAAGAGCACATTACAAACCACGCTTGACATGAAAAGTTTAAAGGACTGTAGCAACATCTGCGAAGGCCAAAAAGATACAAGTTAAACAGGAACTTTCTCTCATCTACATCTGTCGACCACTTAATTAGCTGGCACAGTCAGTGGCTTCACCCCAATTTTTCTCCAAGAAACACTGGGCATAATCTGTTTTCTGTCCACCCGAGCCTTGAACTTAATAGCAAAGTTAAGCAATGAGTCAAGAAGAGATTCTGAAAGGAGATGCGGTTTCAGTCCGAGCTCAATGAGTTTAGTATGCTTTGCATTGTAATAATGTTCCTCTGCCTCAACTCTTGGGTTGGGCACAGTTATGGTTTGCACATCAAGTCCAAGCTTCTCTCCGGCTTTTGTTACGAGGGCAGCAAGTTCATTGACAGAAAACTGCTCAGTAAATTGATTGAAGACCCGAAATTCACCAGGTTGTGCTGGATTTGCAATGGCAAGTTCAACGCACTGAACTGTGTCTCTTATGTCAAGGTAACCCCTGGTCTGAATTTTATAAATAAAACATGAGAAAGAGAGAGAAGAGAGTTAGATATGAAAGCAGGAAAAATAGCATCCTCTAATTATAGCTGAACATAACTGTACATAGGAATTTCCTGAATTATAAAAAATCCATGTCTAATGTCCGTGTTGTAACACACCTAGCATATTCATCTAGCATAATGAATGAATGGGCTCCAGGTGTGTGTGAAATGTATTCCGGGGCACATCCAGCATATCTGATAAAAGAGGTGTTTGTCTGTGCAAGATACATGATGCATAAAATACAAGACTAAGTAAAGATTAGGTTAATTAAAAACAATTCAGTTGCCAGTCATTCTCATTCCTCCCAAAAGCAAAATCACAGCATAAAGACATAGCCTAAGTTATTTATCAAAACAAAATAACAAAAGACAAAACGCAGGACATCAATGTCTTAAGGGTTCAAGAGAGAACTCTCACCTGGCCTCCCTTCCATAAACAGTAAGGGCATGACCAACAGCAGCCTGAACACAAAACCGATTCAATGCTGTTCCAAATACTCCATCATAATCAAACCTGTTACATAGCTCTTCATGCATTGAAGTCTCATCAGTCCTTACCCCATAAACCACTCCTTGATTCAGATCAGTGGCTCTGATTCCCCAAGCCTTGCAAGTGAAGGCTATGTTATTTGAATCATGAACCTTACTGAGATGATAAAAAGAGCTTGCTTGCTTCGGAAAAGGCAAAGTATCAGTCCTTCCATTGTGAGCAATAGTAATATAACCCTCTTCAATATCTATGTTTGGAGTTCCATACTCTCCCATTGTCCCAAGCTTCACAAGATGACATTTTTCTCTGAATTCCTTTATTGCAAAAAGAACATTAAGTGTTCCAATCACATTATTCTTCTGAGTGAACACAGCTCTTGATCGATCAATCATTGAATAAGGGGCAGACCGCTGCTCTCCAAAATGGACAACAGCATCAGGTTCAAATGAGTTGAAGGTTTCAGATAGGAACTCAAACTCACAAATATCACCAATATAAAGTTCAATTGTCTTTCCAGTGATAGCTTTCCAACATCGGAGTCGGTTATGGATGGAGGCAATGGGTGTCAAGGAATCAAGACCAAGCTGGTGGTCAAAGAGCCTACGGACAAGGCTGTCGACAATTGCAACCTCGTAACCTTTGTTGGACAGGTGAAGGGCTGTAGCCCAACCACAGTAGCCATCTCCACCAATAACCATGACCCGCTGAGGCTTTGAAGGTTCATTTGGGGACTGATTAGAACCAGACCTGGGTTGAGCTGAAAATTCTTGGCTTATAGGGGCAGCAGTTGCGCGAACCACACAACCTCTTCCCGTCCTATCTCCTTGCAGAACAAGCCTTTTGAAGGGGGACTTGGAAGTCTGAATGGTAAAAGAGGTAGGAAGTGCTGTTCGAACCTGATTCAGAGGTTGACCACAAGGTTTGTAGCTAGAGGAGATCTTTACCGAGCATGAAGTTGACAGCAAATGTGCCATTTTACAGTTTGGTTGTGCCCAGCAATATGCAAATGCACCTGCCGAATACCAATATAGTCCAAAATTAGATCCAATATCCAAGAAAATGTGCTTCAGGCAAAAAGACATTCTACTTCAATCCTAGTGTTATTCTGTTTTGCTCTTCTAGAGCAAGTTCTACTCTTTCAGCGTTTTTGGCAAAGAAGAGTTAAAACCGTAACTTCTAACAACCACCAATGCTATAATCTCATACTAAAATCTGGGTCCAACACTATTTCCTATTGCAGACAAAAAATCAAGTATTTAAGCAGCATAGCTGAACCATAAAAGTAAAAACCCATTTCAAAATAACATTAATCTTAAAAACCCAAGAGTTTAAAAGTTTTTTGTTTTCTCATTTCAGAATAACCAACAATCCTTAAGAACCCAATAAACATATAAAAGAACCAATAACAACGAAAGTAGAGAACATCGCTGAAATGAACAGAGATTACCTTGAGAGAAGTAGCTTAGAAATGAAGTTAAGAACAAGAGGTCGTAATAAAATAGAGATGAGATGAGAAGAAGGGTCTCTGTTTCGGGTTCAAGGGACAGAAAAGGGGAGGATTTGGTTCTCGACAATCAGGGACGAATCAAAAGAAAAAAGGGGCAGTATATTCGATTTATCCACTTAAACTATTAACAAAGTCGCAAACGATTTTTGTTGAGGGGCGTGGGTGTGTTTGGGTCCGAAACAAATTAAACGGAGCCCCATGTCAACTACCCGCTAAACAAATAAAAGTAGCTTTGCCATTTGCTTACAGGGTTGAATACTTTCATCTAACTAAAAATAGTATTACGGCTTGCAGACTGCAGTTTGTGGCCACCTGCCAGTGAACTACTTGTCAAATGCGAATCACCAGGATCTTGTTATATAATTTAAAGGGAATCAATTAATAATATTTAATATATTTTACTTTATTACGTTTTTTTAAGTATATTTTATCATATTTATTAATATAGATGGAGATAAAGAATATACTAATGAAAATATAATAAGAGTATAAAATTATAAAATAAAAATATTACTATAACAACATTATACTTTTAATAATAACATGGTTTATAATTAATTATTGAATTACTAATTATACAAATTTTTTTATTTTTTTGATAATTTAAAAATAAAATAAATAAATAAATCAATCAATAATATAGCTCTAAAAGAATGAATATGAAATTTTGAGATTAGAAATTTAGTATTTTTCTGTTCTTTTGTAAAGTAATTCAAATATAATTTTTTTTTATGAAAAAAAGAATTACAACAAGTGATAGAGATCTAAAATAAAAATATAAGTAAAAAATATAAGAAAAAAAGTCATTAAAAAATATAAATATGAGAATTTATAAAAAATAATTGTTAAATATAATAAATAAATAAATATAAATATGATTTAAATATCTCTTAAATTATAATGCATAAATTTAATTTATAAAATAAAAAATAATAAAATTAACATTATTTTATGTTGGAGGATCAATTTAAATATATTTAATACAAGTATATATACATATTAAAAGAGGCTTCAAACATTTGCCCCGCGTGGAAGGGTGGCCAAGGCCCTCTCTGGTTTCCATTATGATCCACTGTTGCAAATCACTTGAGAAATGACACAGTTCTATGTAGCGTTGGGTTACATTATTCAATGCTATTTGTATAAATGTAACTAGGGCTTGTTTCTACCTAAATGGAATAAATTCTGGTTTTCTTGCCTTTTTTTTTTTTTTTCTTTTTGTCTCTTGGTTTTTGGCTGTATCAAATGTTCAAATATGCTACAACGGTATGCATAGATTAGGTAGCTCAATCCATTCCGATGGTTTTTTTTTTATTTTCTTTAATTTTTTAAAGTCTGGGAATAATAAAAAATTTATAAATTTTAAATTCAAATATTATCATTTAAAGATGATAACATGAATAAACTAAATTAACATTCAGATTTATGATTAGTTCAATTGTATAGGTTCCGATTTTGTATGATTGATTAAATTTATATAGGTTCCAAATTTCTAAACGATATCCAGTCCTAGTTCCACACGCTACCTCAACAAAACAAAACTTTAGGCTAAAGCTACCTCTCAACAATCGTGACCATGACTAAGTAGAGAACCTCCTCTTCGTCCCCAATCCCAAGTTTAATTCTCCAGTTTTACTTGCATGCACTTAAGTATGGAATATGTTTGGTTATTCAGTTATTGATTTTTTCTTCCTTTTTTTCTCTCTCTTCTAGGTGAAGTTAGAGGGGACACGACAAAGGTAAACAATATCATATATATTAAGAGGAATTTCAGTGGTTTCCATTATGATCATGGAGCTTTGCAATAGGCATTAAAAAGATTGGAAACTATTTCCACTGCTGCAATCATTTAAAAGATTGGAAAACCATTTTATATCTACCATAAAGTTCTTAATTTGTCCTATACACCAAAGCACTTGCTATATATGAAGATCTGCTCAAAATAGGTAACATGACTTTCAAATGCTAAGATATTTTCCATCTATCTACTTTTTCTTTCTTCAACATCTTTCACACAAAAAGGAACTTTTAGTGGTTTCCCTCCCATCAAATAAGAACACAGCTTACAATGTAAAAGATTATGCAACAAGACAAAAAATATAAAGTAGAACGATGTTTCAAGTACCAGCGAAGAGTAATGCTCCGACAGTAAACAATTTTATCTTTATTAAGTCCAAATTTCATCTTGAAAGGTATAGCAGGTTTCGTGAAAATTATCCAACTGAGGATGAATAGATGCTCTGTCCGGACAAAGCAAAATTGGTCCATCTTTGTACTGTAAAAGCTCAGCCCAAGTTTTCTTCCAAGTCTAGCATCAAGCAGTAGGACTTTTTTTTTATCCTCAACGAAGAAAATAGCAGTTTCATCCCCATTAAGCCCCATCAGCAGCAGAGGAAATACCAACTGATTAGTGCTGTTCAGAAACCTTCTTAGCATACTTTTCATCAGCTTCTAACATCAAAAACAATTACAAAGTGTTGGCTTGGTTTCCTCCATGTAGAGGTGGCATAAACCAAAGCCCATTCATCAAGGACTCTTTAGTCCTTTCATGTTTGGTTATAGGGTTTTAAACCCTTATATATTGTTTATGTAGCCAAAAAAGAAGTAAAAGTGGTGTGACGGCAAAATAGAGGAAAAAAAAGAAGAAAATGAGGTTTTGTGCAGTTTCAATTAAGTAATTTGAACAAGGTCAATCCATCATCCAATTAAGTTAAAATTTTATCAATGTGTTCATGATTCATTGTTTTTCAATCTGAATGGTGAAGATCGAATTTTGAGTTTTCTACCCACTATTTTTTTTTTCATTTTTTAATCTATAAATTTGTTGAGATTTCTCCTATTTTCTCTTGCAAGATTGTTTCTTTACTAAAATTATTTAATCTTAAGATATTGTAGTTGTATACCTCTAATTTTAGCTAGAGAGAACTTTGTATTTTCATTATTTTGATAGTGAAAATTATTTGTTACTGCCTTTGGTTTTTACTTCTTATTTTGGAGAGGTTTTCTACGTAAATTGCTTGTATCCTTGAGTTTGTGATTTGAAAATTTATTTATTAGCTCTATTTGTTTGATTCTTACTAGATTCACACAAGAAAGGGATAATTTAATTTTTCACTGCATGACATATTTGATTTGAATATTATTTGAGGTTATTTTATCCTATTAAAGTGGTATCAAAGGTCAGGCTATATGATTTGTGCCTTATGTTGAATAATGAAAGCCAATGCAAGTAGAATGATTAATTTGAATGGTTTAAATTAACATATGTGAAAAGGGAAGATAAAAGACTTGCTTAATGTGAAAGATTATTATTTATTTGTGTTTGCTACTGAAAAGCCTAAAAATAAAACAAAAATAGAATGTAATTTGTTTCATCGATAGGTATGTGGTTATATTAGACAATGAACAGATAATATTTTGAACCATGTTAATGGAGAGACATATATACGTACTCTTTGAAGCAAGCTTAAGGAGTTGTATACCCCAAAAACTGATAATAATGAATTGTTTTTAATTAAACAGTTGATAAGTTTGAAATATCAAAATGGAACTTCTATGATAGATCACATAAATGCATAGCAAGGTATTATTAATCAATTGGCTGGCATGAATCTCAAATTTGAAGATGAGATACAGGGTTTATGGTTTCTTAGTACATTGCCAAACTCGTGAAAAACATTTAAAACAACATTATCAAACTCATCCCCAAATGGTATTATCACTATGAATTTGGTTAAGAGTGGTGTTTTGAATGAAAAGATGAGAAGAAAGTCACAGAGTTCCTCTTCACACTCTGATGTCTTAGTCACAAAAAATAGGGGTGAGTAAAAGTAAAGGTTCGAAAAATAAAAACAGAAGTAAGAGTAAGTCTAACAAATTTGCTAATGTTGAGTGTTATTGTTGTGGTCTGAAAAGGCATATAAAAATATTATCAAAAGTTAAAAAGAGATAACAATAGTGATAAAGATAAGAAAAAGAAGAATGGTGATGGTAATGATACTGATAAAGTTGCTATTATCACAGATGATTTTCTTATTTATATAATGATAATGTTGTTAATCTTGCATGCCATCAGACTAGTGGAGTGATTGATATTGGTGCCATAATTCATGCTACATCTCGAAAAAACTACTTTGCATTTTATACACCTGGTGATTTTGGATATGTTAAAATGAATAATGATGGCTCAACTAAAGCCATTGGTATGGGATATGTGTTCTTGGAGACCAATAATGGCATTATGTTGTTTTTGAAAAATGTTAAATATATTCTCGATATTCGTATAAATTTGATTTCTATAAGAAACTTTGATGATGAAAAATTTTGCAACACCTTTTTTTGATTGTCAGTGAAAATTCACTAAAGGTTCTATTGTTGTAGCTAAAGATCCGAAGAGCTCTTCATTGTATTTGATGCAAGTAAAGGTATTTAATTTCGTTATCAATGTAGTAGATAAAGATGATACAATTGAGTTTTGGCATAAGTGATTTTTGGCATAAGTGACTTAATCACATGAGTGAGAAGGATTTGAAGATTTTGGCTAAGAAAAATCTTTTTTCTGGAGTGAAGAATGTATCTTTGAAGAAGTGTGCTTATTGCTTGACAGGGAAACAAATCAAAGTTACATTTAAGACATCCATTCCATTAAAAAAGTCAGGTATACTTGATTTAGTATATTCTGATATTTGTGGTCCTATGAAAACAAAACGCTTAGTAATTCTATCTATTTTATGACTTTAATAGATGATCATTCAAGGAAGATATGGGCTTATACCTTAAAATTAAACGATCAAGTGTTAGATGTATTTAAACAATTTCATGCTTTAGTTGAAAGGCAAATAGGGTTAAAATTAAAATACATAAAGACTGATAATAAGGTGAGTATACTAAACCTTTTGATGAGTATTGCAGATAATAGGCATTAAACATCAAAAGTTATCTTTTAAAACTCCTCAATTGAATACGTTAATGGAAAGGATAAATAGGACACTAATGAAAAGAGTGAGATATTTGATTTCACAAGCATAGTTATCAAAATCCTTTTTGGGTAAGGTTTTTAGTATAGTTGTATATGTTTTGAATCTCTCACCATGTGTTTCTTTAGATTTTGATAATTTAGATAGAGTTTGGTCAAGTAAAGATATGTCCTATAATCACTTGCTTATTTTTGGATGCAAAGGTTTTGTACATATTCCTAATGATGAAAAATCCAAGCTTGATGTTAAAATTAGATAGTGTGTGTTCCTTGGTTATGGCCAGGATGAGTTGGCTACAAGTTTTATGATTTAGTGCAGAAGAAACTTATG